GAACACGACCAATTTTGTTGCGGGGACTATTGCCCTGGTCTGGCATAAGCGTTGCGAGCGTCGAAGGCTGCAATTGGGACATCCTCTAGTTTGGTGTTGAGTAGCAGAAGCCTGAGTTAGGAATGGCCAGCTTCTCTATGAAAAGCGCGGGCCCTCCAGGAAACTTGTCTATCAGTAGCCGTGGAGCTCGGGCTTTTTGAGGTCTCGCACGATTTCCCGCGCCGCAGCTGTCTCAGTGATCTACACGAGTTGCCTTTTGAGTGCCCTAGCCACGTGTCCAGCGCCATGCCCGCCAAGCGCCGCCTCCTAGCCGACGGTCTTCAATTCAACGGCGCGACCAAGAAGGCCCGCGGGGACCCCTTGGCGCAGTTGGCGCCCGGCGTGCTCTTCGCCGCCGCGCGGCCCTGGGGAAAAGCGTTCGCCTTCTTCGAAGGCTTGGAGACCGATGTGCCGTCAAGGAGGCGTTCGGGCCCAAGGAGTTGCTGAAGTTCGCGCGCGAGGCCTTGCTCGAGCACCCCGACAAGGACGTCCGCTGCCTCGAGTCCTTGGAGACTGTCCTCCGCGTCAAGCTGAACATCGGCGCCCCGCCGCAGAGCGGCCCGCTCGACCCTGACGGCGTGGGCGTCGCGCCGTGGAACATGGCCATCTACTGCGCGGGGCCTGACCCGTCGCCCGCGCTGGACCTCGTGGCCTTCGTCTTGGACCACAAGAAGCGCGTGGGCGACCTGGCGGCTGTCCCGCGCCTGTGCCTCTTGACTGCTCCGCGCAGCCTAAGCTTCGGGAAAGAGTTCCCGCGCTGGGCGAGAATGGACTTTCCCTTGCCCAAGCCTTTCGCGGTCGGGCCGCCCAAGGGTCGCCGCCACGTTGTGTGCCAATTGGAGCTCGCTCGGGTCGAGGCGGCCAAGGGCGAGGGCGTGGATGGGGAAGAGCTGCTTGGAGAAGAAGAAGAAGAAGGAAATTGCGGAGAAACCGGGCCGGGCGCAGGCGGCCGCCGCTACTCGCTGATCTTCTACGGAGGCATCTTCGCCTACCGCAGCAGGTTCGACGAGGTGGATGTCCCTGGGGCGCACGTTGTGGGCCGAAACGGCGGCGGGCGGGACCGCGACTACGTTCGGGTGCTGGAAATCGAGGACTCCTTGGAGGACAAGCGGCGCGTCCAAGAGATCTTCGCGGACGTGCTGCTGGGGGTCCCGCTTCACTTCGTCAACGCGACCTCCGCGGGCGACCCGCTGGCCAAGTGGGTGGCCGAGCAAGAGTCTGTGCTTGCCACCGAGATGGCGGAGACTGAGTGAGCGGTCGGAGCCGCGGAGTGCGGCGCGTGGACTGCGCCACTTGAAGGCGCAAAAAGACGGACGGGGTAATCGGCTCGCCGCAGTCGGCTCTCGGCCGCTCAGAAAAGTTTTCCTTTTCCCTTCGGGCCCCTTTCGTTGTCGGCGGAGAGCGGTTTGAAGGGCGGGGGGCGGGGCTTCGGCCCGAGCTCGGACTTGAGCCGCGCGGCCGCGCCTGGGTCTTGCCGTTGGCCGGCGCGACGCATCGCGGCCGCCGCAGCCGTTTTGCCCAGCTATAGCTAGCTCTCGCGACCTGCTCCGCTCAAAGCCTCTTGGTTCGCGCGCCGCATGACAGAAGACAGCACGCCTGCCGTGGGAGACCGCGTGCTGGTGATGCGGCAGCCGTGGCTCGACCTCGTGCTGAGCGGCGAGAAGACCATGGAACTGCGAGCGACCCGGCACGCGCTCGGCCGCGTGTGGCTGGGCATGGGAGGCAAGGTCTACGGCTGCGCGACCATCTCTGGCGCCCGCGTGCTCAGCGAGGCGGAGTTTCACGAGCTCGCAGACCAACACTTGTGGCCGCGCGACGCAGCCCTGCCATACGAGAGGCGCGTGCGCGGCTTGGGCCTGACTGCCCCGCGACGCCTGGCGGAGCCGATCCCGTACTGGCGCCCGCCTGGCGCCGTTGGAGTCAACATCTTCCGGAGGACGGCCGAGGACGCCCCGCCTGCGCAGCCCAAGGGCGGCGGCAAGAAGAAGCGCCAGAGGAGCGCGCTGCCGCGAGGTCAGTCGTGCCTTGGCTTGGCGGCGCCCACTCAACTTGACAGTCAAGCCGAAGCCGGAGAACGAGAGACGGGGAAAACGGCGGCGGCCAGCGGCGAGAAGGTCGACAACGAGGGCGAGGCGAAGTGACGGGGCCGCCCAGCCGCTAGGTCTTCCATTTCAGCGACGACGCAGTGTTTCAGGAAGCAGTGAAAGAAACGCCGCGGGTTTGGCCGCGCCGCCGTGTTGTTCGGGCTTCTCCGAGACTTGCTTGCAGTGGCTCTGCGTGCAGGGCGGCCGCGGAAGGGGGGGAAGCGACGCAGCGTTCTCGGACCGAGCCCTTTTGTGAGACCCGGCGCGGCCCCTCTAGCGGCGTTTCCCCTTGCGCCATGCCGCTGGTCCGCGCCCAAGTCTTCGACGTGTTGTTGCAGGAGTTCCTCGAGCTACTGGACGGGCGAGCCGCGCTTCGCCTCTTGGCGCTCTGCCGCGACGCCCGCAGGCCAGTGTGGACGGAGCGGGGTGCTGCCGCGCGGAGGCTCGCCGAAGACTTTGCGGCTTTCCTTCAAGGCACTTGCGTGCGCTTGCCGGGCTTTGAGCGGCAGGACGCGCTCGAGGTGCGGGCCTGCTGGGACTTTGACGCGGAGCGGGCAAGCCGTTTCCGCCCGCCGGCCTTCTTGGCCGGCGCCTTCCGCGGGGGCACGCCGCTGCAGATGCGGCGCTGGATCGATCGCTTCTGCCACATCCGAGGCTCGGGCCCGCTTGAAGCGCTGCGAAGACTCAACTTGTTCTTCTTCGACTCGCTCGGGGGAGCGGAGTTCGAGTTCTACCTCGGCTTGCTGCGAAAAGGCCGCGCCCGCTTCTTCTACTCGCCCGAAGTCGATCGCCCGGGCGACTTTCGTGGCTGCTTGCAAATGGATAGCGAGGAAGAGGAAGACGAGGCGCCCTTCGACGCCGGCCTCGCCATTGCGTTCCGCTGCGACGACTTCCCAGTGGCCGTTTGCGCGCGGCGGGCTCGGCCTGGAGAGCGGCGAGCTCGAGCTCGCTAGCCTCGCAGCTGACTGTCGCGAGACCGCCGCGGCCGGGCCAGGCAAAAGGCGCCGTCGCGTGGGAAAGGAGAGAGGAGGCGGGGGGGGCGACGAGAAACGATCAAGTTGTGGATTGGCGCGAGCGGGCGCCGCTTGCTTTCGCGCGCGCAGCTCCGGCCCAAGCCGCGCTTCTACAGGCTTCGCTGCGCATGTTGGGCCTAGGCCAGCGGCCCCGGTGGGCCGACATGTGGGACTCCGAGAGCGACGAGGGGGAAGGCGACGAGGCGGGCGCGGCGGAGCAATTCGAAGTCGAGGCCCGGGGCGAAGACGCGCTCTACCAAGAGGTCGCCGCTTTCGCGGAGGTGTCCGTGGGGCCTTGCTCTGACTTGCGGCTGCCGACGCTGGTCGCCTGGCAGGCGCGACTGCGCCAGAGATGCGAGGGCTGGGACTTCCCGTTGCCGTCCTGGAGATGGTTAGTCTGCGACGACCCGCTGCGCTTCCGTGCGGAGGTCCAAATTTTTGTGCTGTTCGTCGGGCTTCTTTCTGAGCGGCGCCCGTCCCGGGCCAGTCGGCGGGCCATCCGAGGCTGGCAGCAGCGGCTGGCGCTCGCCGCCTTGGAGTGCGAGTTCCCGTTCTCCTTGTGGGAGGACGTCGTATTTTTTCGTCATTTTCGACGGGGCCGCCCGTGCGTCCGGCTAAGATTGGACCGGGCTTTGTTTGCAGGCCCGTGGGGTTGAGCGAAGGCTTACCGGGCCTTGCTGCGCGAGCTCGATCGGGCCGTCCGTCGGCGGCGGCGCAAGGCGCGCCGCGCCTGCCGGCGGCTGCGCTCAAAGCAGCCGAGGCCAGCCGAGCACTTTCACCTGTGAGCGAGCCAAAAAAAACAGACCGCCCCCCCAAGCAACGCTCGGCCGCGTCGGCTCGCGCTGTCGCGGCGACTTTTGTGACTGGGCTGGCCGCGGCCGTTTCCACGGCTTTTCGGCTCAAGCTTCTGAGCTCTCGCGCACTCCTAGCTGTTTGCGATCAGGACTGTCCGCGCTCGCTTCTCGCGGCGGAGGGGTTTCCTCGCAGGGTCGCCCGTCGCGCGCGCAGGACTTTGTCTGGCAGAATGGCCCCGGCGGATCTTTCGTCTGCGGCCGCGGCGGACGAGGCTAGCCGAGAGTTTCTTCTCGTTCGAGTTTGGCTTTTTCGCGCCCGCCCGCTCCCTGCGGCCGCTCGCAGGTTGCGGCGATCTGCGCCCTGGCGGTGGTCGACGTCCCCGGGGACGGCAACTGCCTCTTCCACGCCCTCGCGACGCAGGATGAAGAGGGCTGCTGCGGGGAGGAGCTGCGAGCAGAGTTGGCGGACTTTCTCGAGAGCGAGGCCTTCGGCCAGGACGGCTTCGAAGAAGTTTGGCTAGAGGAGGCCGAGCACCTGCGAGGGCCTGCGGCGGAGTGCTGGGGCGGAGCCGTGGCCATCTCGGCTTATTCCTTGCTTCGACAGCGGCGGGTCTTCGCCCACGTCAAGGTCGCGGGCTCCGACGTCGTGGAGGTCCAGGACAGCTCCCACGCGCTCGTCGACGCCGACGCGCCGGTCGCCCACCTCCTCTACAACGGAGTAGACCACTACAGCGCCTTGATCGAGGCCGAGCTCTCCGACGCGATGGCCCCGGCCTGGCCGCAGCCGCCGCCGCCGCGCTACTTTGCCCCGGTGATCGCGGAAGCTGCGGGGGCCACGGCGGCCGCTGTCTACGCAGAGGCCTGTGTTCGCTTGCGCGCCGAGGGCAAGGGGTCGACTTCGCGGCCAGGAGTTCCCAAGTCTGGCCGCCGCCGCGGCCGCCCGCAAGCCGGCCCGCTCAGGCCGCGGACTTGGCCGCGCGCCGCCGCGGCCCGCCCAGCCCGCTCCGGCGAAGTCCCGGCGCCGCCTCCGGGAAAAGACAACGCCGGCGCCGGAGCTGCAGGACGATGTGATGGAGGAAGTCAGCAAAGCCTTCGTGATCCCCGCGGCCCAGACTTCCCACCCCTTCCGCCCCCTAGAGGACGCGGTGACGGAGTTGGCGCTGAAGCTCCGGTTCCAGCCGACGCTCCCGCCGGGCGCCGAAGAAGTTGAGCTGAAGGACGGAGCAGTCTGGCCCCGCGCGTTCTGCGCCTTTGACGGCTGCGGATGGGAGGCGGCCAACGGCCTGGAAGCGGACCTCGCCAAGCACCTTGAGGCGGAGCACGCGGAAGACCTGGAGTCCGCCGCCGCTTGCTTTCCTGGGCCTCGCCCCCCGGACGCGCTGCTGAGCGTTTACAACGAGGCCGTCGCCCGGCGCTGCCGGGCCGGGGCGCCGCTGGCGGGGTGCTCCTTGGATCGCACCGCGCTGCGCTCCTTCGCCGAGGCGACTGCGGAGGACAGCGTGGAAGCTCTGGTTTGCTTCTGCTGCGCCTGCGTCTACACCCGCGTGGCGGAGCTTGAGGGGCAGAGCGAGATCCAATGGCGGCGGCCACTGAGTCGCAAGCCGACGGGGGAGCACCTCTTCTTCGGGAAGCCGGCGGCCGCAGCGGCGCGAGCTCTCAGCCTGGAGCGCTTTCTGGAGAAATACGACCAGCTCGACGTCGCGGGCAAGAAGTTGTCTGACTCTGAGAATTTCGGCTCCTGGAAGTTGCGGCTGCCTGGCCCTGGCGGCGCAGAGCTGCTGTGCTGCCCGGAGGACCACCGCTGCCGTGCGGTCCCAGGACACGTTGAGGAAGGCGTCCTCTGCGAGCACTGCGAGCTGCCAGTTTGCGGCGGCTGCCTCGACCACCTCGCCCGCGCGCAGTTGCCCCCGCTGAGCCTGGCAAACGACATGTGGACTGGCTACGGCTACGCCCCGGAGCGGATCTACGCGGAGGAGGCGACTGCGATGGAGCTGATCTGCGCCTCGCCCTGCGTCGCGACGCTGATTTGCATGTCTATGGAGGCGCGGTTCCGCAGCGAGGCTTGCGCCCTAGACGAGACGGCGCATATGGCCCGGCATCGCTTCGGGGCTCGGGGCAACGCTTTATCTTTCCCGCTGCCCTGGGAAGACGTCTTGAAAGCTTTGCAGGGGGAAGGCGACCAGGCGGCGGCGCTGCCGCGCAGCGGCGCAGAACTCGGCCAGCTGGTCCGCGTTCTGCTCAAGACCAACAAGAAGGGCAAGACGAGCGACGCGGAGATCAAGGGCCTCATCCACCAGGCGAACGTGAGGCGGGAGGTGAACCTCATCTTGGACATGAAGCGCCTGGGCCACCCGTCCTTTGCGGGCGTGGATGAGGAGGGAGTTCGCCTTAGAGCCGCCGCCCTCCCTGCCGACGGGGTTCCGCCCGAGGTGTTGAAAGTCGTGGTCCAGGCGCGGGCGAAAGAGGGGCGGGCCGCGGGCTGAACGGAAGAGGGCGCTCGAAAAAAAAGCGCGCGCCCGCGACCAGGTGGACGCGGACGTCGACGACGCCGAGGACAAGCTGCAGCCGCAAAAGGCGGCGACGCCTTGCGACGGGCGGCAGGAAGACGTCGCCGCCGCCGGCGCGACCTTTGCCGCGCAGCGGGCGCGGGCCGTGGTCGCGGAAGGCTGCGCGGGCGAAGACGCCAACGAAGCTGCGGTGGCCGCGCTGCGGAAACTGCGGCGGGGCCTAGAGGCGGAGGTCGAGAAGCGAGAACTGGACAAGTTAGAGGTCAGGGCCGGCAACCAGCTTCTGGACCAGTTCCAGCCCCTCTACTTCGCCGTCGCCTTTTGCTTCTGCTTTCCCCGCGGGACTGCCTGCCCGGACGTCCGAAACACCGTGGCCCAAGAAGACGACGACAGCCGCCGGAGCAGGCGTGAGAGGCGCCGGGCTCGCCGCTGAAGCCGGGAGTTTTGCTTCGGCGCCTGTTTTTTACCCCTGCCCCCCCTCGCGCCAGGAGCCAGAGCGGCGCGCCCGAGGTGAACATTCACGCCTGGGCCGCCGCCATGCAGCGGCGCGTGGAGGCGCAGTTCCGGCGCGACTGGACCTTCGGGTTTGCGGTCTGGAACTACTTGTTCCGGACCGCGGTCAACTTGCAGAAGAACGCTTACATGTTCTCCGTGCCCAGCGCCGACGGCGGCAGCTACCAGGCCCGAGGACATCGTCGCGGGGGTCCGGGAGATCACGTCCCGCTTGCGGGGAACCTACACGGACATCAACGGCGAGGAGAAGCCCGTCCAAGGGGACTTGACCAAGCTGCGCTTTGCGAACCTGAAGCCCGCCGCCCGCAAGATCCTGGCGAACGTCGAGGCCCGGGCCAAGAACATCCCCGGGACCCACGAGGTGCGCAAGACCATGCGCCTCCAGACCCACGCCTACCGCGTCTGCCACGGGACCTCGATCTTCTTGACTTTCTCGCCTTCGGAGCGAGACACCGCCCTGATGCTGCGCCTGGCGCGTGTGCGAGAAGAGGATCCGGCGCTACTGCGGGATGGCGCGAAGAAGTTCCAGGCCCGCGGCGCGCCGGCGCTGGACGAAGAGTTCTGCCGGCTGAGCCCCGAGGCCTTGGCGGAGAACCTGCCGAACTACGAGGACAGGCGCGCGCTGCTGGCCAGGGACCCGCTGGCTTGCGCGGAGGGCTTCAGGACTTTCGGCGCAGAAGGGGGGGGAGGGGGAGAAACCGCGTTGCTTCGACTTCCGGCCCCAGGACGCTCGTGCTCCTGACGCTGCGCCACCTCTTGGGGGTCAGGTTCTGCCCGCGCTGCCCGAACTGCGCGACTTCGGGGCGGCCTTGCAGCGACGCCTTCGGGAGCAACGCCGTGGCCGCCGGCGGCGTGCTGGGCAGAGTTGACGCGGTGTTTGGCTCCATCGAGTGTCAAAAGAGCGGAGCCCTCCACGCCCACATGCAAGTGTTCGTCCAGTGCCGCCATCAGCACGGGTCGCTGGCCGGCCTCCTTGACTTGGGGAAGCCCAAGATCCAAGCTCTGATGCAGACCTACGCCTCCTACACGGCCCACGTCCGGCGCTCCGTCTACTGCGACGTGGAGGGCTGGGGGCGCGATCGGGCCGCCGTCGAGGAAGAGTGGCCGGAGTACAAGGACTGCGCCTTGATGTTGAGCCGGCCGGCCTACCAGGCAAGCCGCCGGCTGCGGCCCGAGGAGTGGATGCGGCGATACTTGGCGGAGGACGTGGAGCAGCTGCAGCGGCGCAAGCAACATCATGTGCATCTCCCTGCCGGCCCAGGCGGCGAGCGGCGGCCTCTGGCTCACTGCCGCGACCCCAAGGACCCGACGAGGTGTAAGAGCGGGTTCCCCCGCGACAATCAATTGATTTTGGGCCGAACGGCTCTGGTCTGCCGCGGCTTGGCCGAGCAGCTGGACCTGCCCGTCAAGGGCAAGCGGAGTTCTTTGGGCCTGCAGTGGGGGCCGGTCAACCGGCGCTGCTGGCGGCGCTGCGCTGCAACGGCGACCTCCAAGTGCCTTATCGGTTCCCCGTGACTAAGGAGACCCACGACGACGCGCTCTGCCAGGAGGAGGCCTGCGTCGGCGACGGCGACGTCAAGCTGCTCGTCCGAGAAGCGCAGAGGACCCAGGCCGGGCAAGAATAGCGGCCGCGGTTTTGCCCGGCTCTGTTCGCTCTCGCGTCGCGCAGGCCGCCCAAGCTGGCTACGGCTGCGACTACATGAAAGTTACATTGGCGGCAACTGAATCCAAATTTGTGGCAACTGAGCCCAGCTTCAGGCAAAAAACAGATGGCAAAGATATAGGGGAACGCTTTGCTTTTTGTTCGCAGCGCGTCTAACGCGCGTCTAACCTCTGTTAGCCCAGCCTGACAGCCTGAGCAGCATTTCCAGCTGGGAGAAATTGAGCTGGCCAAGAAGCTGGAACCAGCGAGCGCTTTGAGCCAAACAAAAAGGGAACACGCTATGCGCTTTAAGCTATTAAAATCACGTCAAGGGTATCGAGGTCTCTTCGTGCGCTTGCTTGCTTTCTTTCACCCGAGAACGGCACGTGACTTTTCAGAAGACAAAAGGGACCACACTAGTTTTCACCCGGGGGTGCGTTTTGTGTTCAAGCGCCTTTTTTCCCAAGAAGGTCGCATTGCCACCAAGGGGCCACTCAGAACACTTTCTCCTTTGCAAAAAGGCCCACTACCAGGTTTCAAGAACTTACCCAGCAGCGCAAGGGTTTGTTTCCGAAAAAAGGCAACTTTTTCCAAGAAGGCCTAAACCAGACCCTTTTGCGAGGTATTTGTCCGGCACACACACACACAGACACGCATACTTGTCCGAAAGAGAGCCGGCAGTGACAAGGCGTTGTTACATCAGTTAAACCTAGTGCCTTTTTGGTGTGCGAAACACTTCCAAAAGAAACCGAAAAAGTCACTAGGCGCCTTCCGTGCACAATCGGGATGGGTCTCTGACCTGGGATAGGTTGAGCCAGCTCAGATTTCAGAAGACCAACTACAAGATACTCAAGATGTCATAGGTGCCGTCCAATCGGTAGGCCCACGCACGGAGGTAAAAGTGCAACAGCTGGACACGACCAGAGACTGGCAAAGCGATGTGTCGGGGACGGGTGTGAAGGGAAGGGGGCCCTTCGAGATGACGAAGGTAACCACCTTTTCACGCAGGTTGGGCTCAAAATCAAATTGGAAGGAGCCCCCATGACACCTTACCAGTGAAGAAAGAGAGTTTCAGGAAGTGTCCCAGGCGAAAAGGTTTTAAATGCAACAATTGCCTTTTTAAACTTGCCTTTGTTCAACGTGCCATTTGTGGTCACTAGCTACAATCTTACCCCCTGCGCCAAATACCAACTTTTTACAGGGTATGATGTCAGCCCTCTACTAACAAAAGGTGGTGTTTACCATGGAAAACCTGGTGATCCCAAAAAAAGGTTTGCCACCAACCCACCAGGCAGGCAGGCTAGTCTTGAGCTTGTGCCCTGAAGATGCGCCGCCGCAGCTGGCAACAAACATAAACCATGGCTCCTTCCGGGGCATGCCCTCCGACTGCGATGTGGTCGCATTCACCAAAAAGTAGATCAGTGATGATCAGCTTTCGCAACCTCCGATGTTGGTGTTGGCTTCCACCTGGTCTTCGAGGATGACTCTCGCGCCAGCAGCAAAGTGATTCGGCAGAAGCTCAAGTCATTTTCTCTATATTCAGGGGAAACCGAAACTGAAGTGTCGCCTAAGGGAGAATGTCATTTGGGGCCAGCCCAGGAAGCCCAGGCTGCGCAAACTGCTTACGGTTTCAGGTACCAAAGGGCCTTGGATATTTGAAGGCCTTCGCAGCCAATTCGATCTGGCGCAACGCAGAGCTGACTCTTTTCCTGTGGCGTGAGCAGGGGGATCACTACACATGTTAGCCGATTGAAACAACTCGTGAGCTTAAGCCTTCCAGGGTTGTTGCCCGCGACAGAAAACCAACAGTGCCAACGCACGGCCACCACAACCCGCGTTTTCGATGCACCAGCCACCCCCCCAACAAAGGTTTTCGATGCACCAGCCACTGCCGAACCAACGTTTTCGATGCACCAGCCACTGCCCAACAAAGGTTTTGCGCCAGCCACCCCCCAACCTTTTCGATGCACCAGCCACTGCCCAACCAAGGTTTTCGGCCTTTTGCTTAAGCGGGGCTGCCGACATACCTGATCGCTCACAGTCAGCAAAAACGCAACGACAACACTGAGCGCATCGAAACCAACTTCGGTTCTTAAAAAAGAAATCAATGGACTCGAGCTCCCGGAGTCCATCGAAAACCCTCCTTTTTAGAGCTGAGGAACAATTTGCCCCAAAGATTCCCTGACTAAAATGGAACCTGCGCTTGTAGATCTAGGGTTTTGACACGACTCGGGCCTTTAGAGCCCATCGACCCTAAATCTCAAAAACAACCTGGAAATCAACGCACCGAGCCTTGTTGTTTCGTCAAGGGAAAGGAAAATCAATCGACTGGAGCTCCGGGACACCATCGAAAATTTCCAAACCCATGTTGCAGGAACCCTTGGAGCATCGAAAATCTTGGTTGCGGGGTGGCTGGAGCATCGAAAATTTCCAAACCCATGTTGCAGGAACCCTTGGAGCATTGAAAATCTTGGTTGGGGGTGGCTGGAGCATTGAAAATCTTGGTCGGGGTGGCTGGGTTGGGGGGTGGCTGGAGCATCGAGAATCTTGGTGGTCAATCTTGGTTGGGGGCTGGAGCATCAAAAATCTTGCTGGGGTTTGCTGGGGTTGGTTGCCGGGTGGCCGGTGCATCGAAAACCTTGGTTGGGGGGTGGCTGGAGCATCGGAATTACTTGGTTGCCGGGTGGCCGGTGCATCGAAACCTGGGGCAGTGGCTGGTGCATCGAAAACCTTGGTTGGGCAGCGCATGGCTGGTGCACCGAAAACGTTGGTTGGGCAGTGGCTGGTGCATCCCAAACCTTGGTTGGGGGGTGGCTGGCGCATCGCAAACGGCCGTGCGCCTGTTTCCTCCGAAGATTTCCTAGCAAGCGGGGGCTCGCCAACTCTTGGGGCAGCTTCCTCCTGCTCAGGCCAAGGGGAGTCAGCTCTGCGTAGCGCCAGATCGAATTGGCTGCCAAGGCCTCCAAATATCCAAGGCCCTTTGGTACCTGAAGCCGTAAGCAGTTTGCAGCGTTGTGGTTTTTGGGCTTGCTGGTCTGGCCCCAAATGACATTCTCCCTTAGGCGACACTTCAGTTTCGGTTGCCTCTGAATATGGAGAAAATGACTTGAGCTTCTGCCGACTTTGCTGCTGGCGCGAGATTCGTCCTCGAAGGCCGGGTGTGAGCCAACACCAACATCGGAGGCTGCGAGCACTGATCATCACTGATCTACTTTTTTGATGAATGCGACCACATCGCAGTCGGAGGGCATGAGCCATGGTGCGGATCTTCAGGGCACAAGCTCAAGACTAGCCCGCCTGCCTGGTGGGTTGGTGGTAAAAGGTACCCCCTACTCCATTTGTTTCTGGGTGTTTGTTGGATCACCAAGTTTTCCATGGCAAATACCACTTCTTTTTTTGCAGAGAGCTGGCAAAAAGTTTGTATTTGGTGTAGGAGGTAAGATTGTAGCTACAAGTGGCACGTTCAACGAAGGTTTGCCTGGGGCAATTCCTGAAACTCTCTTTGATTTCTTTGATTTGGAGCTCTTGAAGAGGGCCCCCTTCCAGCTTCACGCCCGTCCCCAACACATGGCTTCACCAGTCTCTGGTCGCACTTTTACCTCCGTGCGTGGGCCTACCCAATCCCTGATAGACGGCTTCAACCTATCTCAGGTCAGAGACCCATCCCCATTGCGCACGGAAGGCGCCAAGTGACTTTTTGGTTTCTTTTGGAGGTGTTTCGCATACCAAAAAGGCGCTATAGGTCTAAAGGTGTAACAAAAGCCTTGTCGTTGCCGGGCCTCTTTCGGACCAGCGCGTGCGTGGGATTCAAACCCGTGCGCTGCTGGGTAAGTTCTTGTAACCTGGTAGTGGGCCTTTTTGCCAAGGAGAAAGTGTTCTGAGTGGTCCCTTGTGGCAATGTGACCTTCTTGGGAAAAAGGCGCTTGAACACAAAACGCACCCCCGGGTGTAAACTATTGTGTGGTCTCTATTGTCTTCTGAAAAGTCATGTGCTGTTCTTGGGTGAAAGAAAACAAGCAAGCGCACGAAGAGAGGTCTCGATACATAACGTGTTCCCTTTTTGTTTGGCTCAAAGTGCTCGCTGGTTCCAGCTTCTTGGCCAGCTCAATTTCTCCCAGCTGGAAATGCTGCTCAGGCTGTCAGGCTGGGCTAACAGAGGTTAGACGCGCGTTAGACGCGCTGCGAACAAAAAGCAAAAGCGTTCCCCTATATCTTTGCCGTCTTTTTTTTGCCTGAAGCTGGGCTCAGTTGCCACAAATTTGGATTCAGTTGCCGCCAATGTAACTTATGAACAAGCGGCTGCCCATCGCCGTGCAAGAGCTCAAGGAGTGGCAGCGCGGTCATCGGGAGCTCGGCGAAGACTTGAAGGACAAGCCCGCCGGCTACGTGGGGGCGAGGGTGGCCAAGCGGCTGACCACGGACTGCTACGCCCGCGGCGTCTGCCGCGGCGCGGTGGAGTGCGCCAATTTGACCACGCGCCAGGCGGGCAACGACCCCACGGCGGCCGAGTCTATCAAGACGGCGCCCATCCACTCCATCTCCTTGCAGTTCGGCCTCCAACTCCTGGAGGCGGCGGCCGCCGGCGAAGCTTGGCCGGCTGAGCCGCGACAGCTGCGGACAGACGCGCGGCCGGCGGCTCAGCGAGGGCGCGTGGTCTCCTGCCCGTTCTGGACCTTCTACGGGGCGCGGGGGCGAGCAGCCGAAGTCCGCGAGCTCTGCGCCTTCGAGTTCGCGCGCCACTTCCTCTTCAAGCTCGCCAAGCGGCCCTTTGCGCTGGAGCAGCTGAGCGAGCGGCGCGACGAAGGTTTTCACGCCTCGCTGACGCGGGCTGGGGCGGCGAAGCTTGGCGGAAACCCCGAGGCCGTCTTGCTGCCCGGGGCGGACTACGAGATCCATGAGGAAGGCGGGGAAGACTGGCTGCCGCTAGGGCATGGAGCGCTTGCCCAGCAGTTCAGACACGATTGGATCCGGCGGGGGGGCGGGAGGCGCGAGGCGCTTGCGGCGCGGGGGCTGCGAGAGAATTCAGAGGGAGGGGGGGGGGGGCGCGGGCGGCCGCGGTTCCCTTGCGAGGGGTGGCGTTGCAGTTGCGCAGGGCGCGCTCGGCGGTCGCTCGGAGGAGGACTACGCGAAGCGGGTGCTGCTGCTCTTCTGCCCTTGGACGAGCCACCCTGACGACGCCTCGGCCGCCGCGCCCTTCCTCGCCGACCTCTGCAAGTTCGGCAAGTCAGACTGGCGCCGCGCCCTCCGACGGCGGCTCATTCTCCGAGGCTTCCCGACCGAAGAGGTCAAGCAGTTCGCGCTGAACTTTTGCTTCGTCTACTGCTTGCCGCGGGAGCTCCGGCCGGAACAGCACTTGCAAGAGAACAGCGACAACGAGGTCCAGGACGAGGGCGTGCGCTTTGACGAGGCGGACTTGGAGGCGGCTCGGGCCACGCACGTCCGCGGCGCGGGCAAGCTGGGCTCCGAGAACTTTGACGAACAAGACAGCGAGCAGGAGGACGAGGCCGCGGCGACGCGGCTGTGCGTCATGACCAAGCAGATGTTCGACTTGTCCCGGGCCGCGTGGAGGAAGAGCGGGGCCGACGCCCCGCCCGGCCAAGGCGCGCCCGGGCCGCCCCGAGCGCAAAGCGAGCAGCTTGACCACAACGCGCTCGCCTGGGCCGCCCGCGCCTCGCGGAGCAAGAGCAGACTTCCGTCCTTTCCGGGCGTCGGCCAAGCCAGTCGGGACCCCGAGGCGCAGCCGCTCGGCCCGCCCGTGACCGCAGACGCACTGCTGGACTGGCTGGGCAGTGAGCGCGTCCGGAGCGGTCTGAACTCCAAGCAATGGGAGCTGCTGCGGGTGGTGGTGGAAAGGGTTCTGGTCGAGCTGGAGCTGGTGCCGCCGGACCACGAGATCGCTCTGCGGCGAGCCGAGCCGCTGGCCTGGCTGCTGCACGGCCCGCCGGGCACTGGGAAGTCCCACGTCCTGAAGTTCCTGCGGGAATTGTTCGAGGAGCAGCTCGGCTACGCGCAGGGGATCGACTTCGAGGCGCGCGGGCGAAACTGCGGTCGCCTCTCTTGCCCTGCTGGGGTTGCCGCCCCGCAGGTTGCGGCGTTCCAGGCCGTCAACGCGGCCGACAGTCGCGGCCGGACCCTCCACAACGCCTGCGGCCTTGGCGTGGACGCGGCCGCGCTGGACCGCGCCGTGGGCCAGGAGGCGGCGAAGAGAATGAGCTACTGGAGATGGCTCGTCGTCGACGAGGTCAGCATGGTCAACGCGCGGCTGCTGGCGCAGGCGTGCGGGGAGGGGCGCCGGTCTCGCTTGCCCGCCCGTCTGTTCGCGCGATCGACAGGTCGAGCGGCGGCTGCGGGCGGTCGTCCCGTCGGCCAGTGGAAGCGCAACGCGGCCGGGGATTCGCGGGCCTTCGCGGGCGTCAACGTGCTGCTGCTCGGCGACTTCTACCAGCTGCCGCCGCCGAGCGGCGGCTACCTAGCGGACGTGCCCAGCAGCCGGCGGCCGCCGCGGCTGAGCGCGGCCGCCGATGCCGAGCCGGACCTCCTGGCGGACTACGGCAGAGACTTGTGTGGGGCGGCGCCCTGCAAGGCGTGACGGAGCTGGAGGAGCGCGAGCGCTGCAAGGATGCCTGGTGGAACGAGGTCGTGGACGAGCTGCGGCGCGGCGAGCTGTCGGAGGAGAACTGGCGCTACCTCCACGGCAAGCCCGTCGAAGGTTGCCGGCTGACCGCGGCAGAGCGCGAGTCCCGGCGCCGGGTCATTGCGGGGCCGGGCAACCCGCGCTTGGGAGAAGAGAAGTTCCGGTGGGCGGCGGCCATTGTTGCCAACAACGACGCCAAATACCAGATCAACAAGGACCGTGCCGAGGACTACAGCCGCGCGGCCGAGTCGCCGCTCCGCTGGTCTGTGGCCCTGGACGCGCCGTCCGCCGAGGTTCTGCAGACGCAGGCGCGGGGGGGAGCGGGAGAAAAAGGTTAGGGCGCGAGGGGAGCTTCCCTGCGCGCGCAGAAGTGCGACAAGGCCGTGCGGAGCCGGTGGCTCCAGTATCACGACCGGGACACCGAGAACCTCTTCGGCATGCTGCCGCTAGCCGTCGGGATGCGCGTGGTCTTGGCCGACCACCTCGATCGCTCCGAGGACAAGCTGCTCCTGCGAGGCAGCGCCGGCCGCGTCCACTCCTGGGTCTGGAAGGAGAACGACCATCGGCCGACTTGCGTCTACGTGAAGTTTGACGGGGCGGCCTGGCAGCTTGACGGCGCGCCGGAGCCGGGCCTCTACCCCGTCTAGAAGCTGGACGCCAAGCGCAAGAAGCCGGTGCTCAAGATCGCGCGGACGCAGCTGCCGCTGGCCCCGGCCTACGCGATCACGGCCCACGGCAGCCAGGGCAAGACGCTCCCCGCCGCGCTAGTGGACTTCAACGTTGACAAGCGGACCGACGTAACCTTCGGGACCGTGGCTGCAAGCAGGGTCCGCTCCAGGGAGGACGTCTTGATCTTGAGGCGCCGGACAATACAGCGGGAGGGAGGGAAGAGAGGGTTGTCCCCGGCAGGCCCTTCGAGCGCTGGCTCTACACCCGCGGCGCGCCGGAGGGCCCGGCGCTCCTGCTGAAGCAGCTGCGGGGCGAGGAAGTGGACTGGGATGCATTCCGGGAGGCGAAGGCGCCCTCCGCGGCATGCGAGAAATGCAAAGAGGCCAAGACACTGGACTACTTCTCCGATCGGCAGTGGGAGCGCGTCAGGTCCAACCGCTCGGCCATTTGCCTTGCCTGTGCGCCCAGCCGGCGCGGCCCCTATTGGGCCGCCTCTTCACGTCGGCCGCGCAATCTGCGCAGGCCGCCGCCCAAGGCATTGTTGCTGCAACACTTTCGAACAGGCAAACGGAGCACGTCAGCTCGCCAACCCCTTTCAAGCACTTCAGACAACGGCGCTTGGCTTCAGAGTCGTCCGGCTGCAACTGAGCGCGCGGGAAGGCGTGCTCCAGCTTCCGGAACTTGCAGCCGCGGCAGTCCAGGCGCGCCAGACCAGACGGCAGCTTCCGCTTCAGCGTCTTCTGGCCGGCCTTGCGTTCACTTGCCAGACTTGCTACCTGTTCTTCCCGGGAGCCGGCGCCGCGGAGCGCGACGGCAACCCCTTGTTGGCTAGCCGCCGGCGCTGTTTGAATTGCGCTTCGCGCGGCTCTTGGACTAAGGGCAAGAGCACGTGCCGCAAATGCGGCGGCGTGTGGCAAGAGCCGGGCGGGCAAGGAGGCGACAAGCGCCAAAGGCTTTGCCCAAAGTGCAGGCCGGGGGCAAGTGGCGCAAAGCGCGCGTGACGCGGTTGGAGCCGCCGGGGCAAAAATTGGCTCGAGGCGGGCGGGCCCAGCGGGGGAAGGCCGCGCGAGGAGCAGGAAGAGCGCCGCGGGCGAAGGCTTAAGCGATGTGCTTGCGGGCCTTTAGCCGCAGCCTTGGCTCGACGCGCGCGAGGTCAAGTGCGCCCTCGCTCTCCCCCACGCCCGGCGGCGAAGGAGCCGCGAGCTCGCCCGCGCTCGCCGTTCCCGTCGTCGATGTCAGAAGCTGCGCCGCTAGAGATGGCCCACCTTCGCCAAGGACGGGCTCGATTCGGGCCCCGCGCGCCTCGAGCTATAAAAGCCAGCGGCTCGCCTCTCGCGGCAAAGGCTGCCACAAAATGAAGTGTCTCCCGTCCCAGCAAGGCAAAACGGTTTGCTTCCCACAGAGCGCTTTATCTGAAAGAGACCAGGGCGGACCCTAGAAGAGCACAGCTTTAAATCTAACAAAGGCTTTGGCCGCGCAAGTTTTGTTGAAGGCTGAAGGTTCGTCACGGTTCAGGGTTCAGGGTTGGGGCTCAGGGTTCGGGCTCTGAGGCGCAAGCTCCGCAAACTCTATCAAGGCCAATGGCCGTATTATCAACGCAAATTGTCATTTCATCAACAGCAATTAGGCCAATGGCTGCCTTATCAAGGCGCCCCAGTGGCCGTTTTATCAAGGCCAATGGATGTTTTATCAAGCCAAGGCAGCCCGTAGACCATTTTATCGCCCGTAAACCATTATCGCCCCGAATGGCCGTTTTAGCAAGGTCAATGGCCGTTTCATCAAGCCAAAGCAGCCCGTAGACCATTTTATCGCCCGTAGACAATTTTATTGCCACCGATGGCCGTTTGATCAACGTAGACCATTTTTTCGCCCGTAGACCATTTTATCGCCCCGCTTGCCGTTTTATCAAGGCCAACGAACGTTTTTATCAAGCCAAGGCAGCCCGTAGACCATTTTATCGCCCGTGACCATTTTATCGCCCCCAAGACCGTTTTATCAAGGCCAATGGCCGTTTTATCGAGCGAAGGCAGCCCGTAGACCATTTTATCGCCCGTAGACCATTTTATCGCCGTTTTATCAAGCCAAGGCAGCCCGTAGACCATTTTATCAAGCCCGTAGACCATTTTATCATAAAAAATCGATCAAGCACCAGGGCGCACCCCCCCTATAGAGCAAAGTGATTCGCTGCTTTAGATCTTCGTGAGTCGATTTGAATTTCTTGGGCGCCAAGCTGTGTTGGCGGACCCTAAACCCTAAACCCTAAACCCTAAACCCTAAACCCTAAACCCTAAACCCTAAACCCTAAACTTTTAGTGGCTCGCGCCAGTGTGCGCCAACACAGTATTTTTTGTTTATGCTCGAGGGGGCAAAGACAGAAGCGCTAGGCGCCGGCTTCCCGTGGCAGAAGCGGCCTGACTTTGTCGCTGGCCTCTGCGAGGCAAGGGGCTGTGGCGCAGTGGCAGCGCGCCTGCGGTCGATGCGTCTGCCGCGGAGGTCGCGGGCTCAATTCCCGCCAGCTCCCATCATTGTTGAGCTGTCCCGAGGTTTTAGGTTTCGGGGCTTAATGTCTCGGGGCGCAAGTGTCAGGGGCGCAAGGCGCGGGGCGCGGGGTCCTGGGCGGGGCAAGGGGCCCGGGTGGCGGGCGGGGCTCTAGGCTCCGAGGCTTTGGGTTTTGGAGCTCAATGCGCGGGGCGCGGGGCGCGGGGCGCTAGGCGGGGCAAGGGCCGGGGGGCGGGCGGGGCTGGGCGCGCGGGGCGCTGGGGACTACGCCGCGGCGCCGGGAGACGGTCTCAGGGCCGACCGTGAGGCGCGGGGCGCGGGGACGGCCCCGAGATCGTTTAATCTCAACATCAACGCCAATTGCAATTTCATCAAGAGCAATTGGGCCAATGGCTGCTTTATGAAGGCCCCAATAGCCGTTTTATGGCCGTTTATCAAGGCCAATGGGCGTTTTATCAAGCCAAGGCAGCCCGTACACCATTTCATCGGCCGTTTTATCAAGGCCAATGACTGTTTTATCAAGCCGTAGACCAGCTTATCGCCCGTAGACCATTTTATCTCAAAAAGCTTAGGGTCGACCCCCCTACCAACCAACCAAGCGGCTAGCTTTCCACTTTTGTGATCCCAGTATTTTCTCTTGGGCGCCAAGCTGTGTTGGCGAACCCTAAACCTTAAACCCTAAACCAAGTTGACAAGTTATGGAGGGGGCCCCGGGAAAGCCAACATGGAACGGTTTTCAATTGGCCGTTTTCTGACTGCAAACCCCCTTAGGAGTGACCCTTATCACCGACCATTCTTTTGAGGGGCCAGCAAAGCTTGTGTTACCTCCGAGTTGACAAGTTGTGGAAGGGGCTTCGGACAGGCCAAAATGGAACGGTTTTCAAGGGGCCGCCTTCTGACTGCAAGCCCCCTGAGGAGCGACCCTTATCACCGACCATGCTTTTGAGGGGCCAGCAAAGCCTGTGTCGCCTGCGAGTTGACGCGTTAGGGCTTCGGAAAGGCCAAAATGGAACGGTTTTGAAGGGGCCGTTTTCTGATTGCAAACCCCCTTAGGAGTGACCCTTATCGCCGACCATTCTTTGGAGGGGCCAGCAAAGCCTGCGTCAATTCTCAAGGGGCCGCTTTCTGACTAAGGGGGTGACCCTTATCACCGACCATTCTTTTGAGGGGCCCCGGGAAGCCAAAAACGGAACGGTTTTCCGCCCAGATCGTAGGTCTGAGGAACCTGGCGGGCGTCATGAGGAACCTGAGGGGCATGGCCTTGAAGGAACCCAAGGCGCTTGAAGGGGACTGAAAGATCCCGGGGGGTTCCGAGCGGTCTGGGCGGCTCGCCGCGCCTCGCCTCGCAGCCCCCTTTCCGGCGCGCGGTTGAAGGGGGAGGCGGGCTAGGAGGTGTGAGGTTAGCCGGCCGCGGCGGTTTCGGGCGCGAGCTTTTCTGCGCGCGGAGGCTATACGCGCCGCTTGCACAAAGGGCGTGTTCCGCCAGGCCCCTTGTGTGGGCGCCATATCGCCTCCGCCGAAAAGCCCACGCCTGAAATTCGCGGGGGGGAGGCGGGCTAGAAGGTCTTAGGTTGCCGGCCGCGGCGCGTTGCCTTATCGCCGACCATTCTTTTGAGGGGCCAGCAAAGCTTGTGTCACCTCCGAGTTGACAAGTTGTGGAAGGGAACGGTTTTCAAAAGGGCCGCCCTCTGACTGCAAACCCCCTGAGGAGCGACCCTTATCACCGGCCATGCTTTTGAGGGGCCAGCAAAGCCTGTGTTGCCTGCGAGTTGACGCGTTAGGGCTTCGGAAAGGCCAAAATGGAACGGTTTTCAAGGGGCCGTTTTCTGACTGCAAACCCCCTTAGGAGTGACCCTTATCACCAACCATTCTTTTGAGGGGCCAGCAAAGCCTGCGTTACCTCCAAGTTGGCAAGCTGACAAAGGGCCCCGGGAAGGCAAAAATGGAGCAATTTTCAAACGGCCGTTTTCTGACTGCAAAACCCCTTAGGAGTGACCCTTATCACCGACCATTCTTTTGAGGGGCCAGCAAAGCCTGCGTTACCTCCAAGTTGGCAAGCTGAGAAAGGGCCCCGGAAAGGCAAAAATGGAGCAATTCTCAAGGGGCCGTTTTCTGACTGCAAACCCCCTTAGGAGTGACCCTTATCACCGACCATTCTTTTGAAGGGCCAGCAAAGCCTGCGTTGCCTCCAAGTTGGCGAATCGAGAAAGGGCCCGGGGAAGCCAAAAATGGAACGGTTTTCAAGGGGCCGTCGCTCCCGTAGGTTCCTGAGTGAGGGGTCTGAGGAACCTGACGGGCGTCATGAGGAACCTGAGGGGCATGGCCTTGAAGGAACCCAAGGCGCTTGGAGGGGACTGAAAGATCCTGCAGGGTTCCGAGCGTTCTGGGCGGTTCGCCGCGCCTCGCCGCGCAGCCCCTTTCCGGCGCGCGGTTAGGGGGGGAGGCGGGATAGGAGGCGTGAGGTTAGCCGGCCGCGGCGGTTTCGGGCGCGAGCTTTTCGACGCGCGGAGGCTATATGCGCCGCTTGTGCAAAGGGCGTGTTCCGTCAGGGTCCTTGTGCGGGCGCCATATCGCCTCCGCCGAAAAGCCCATGCCTGAAATTCGCGGGGGGGAGGCGGGCTAGGAGGTTTTAGGTTAGCCGGCTTTAGCCCGCGCCGCGCCGCGCCGCGCCGCGCCGCGCCGCGCCTCGCCGCGCCCCCGCCCAGATCTTGTAGGTTCCTGAGGAGTCTGGAGGAACCTGACGGGCGTCATGAGGAACCTGAGGGGCGTGGCCTTGAAGGAACCCAAGGCGCTTGGAGGGGACTGAAAGATTCCGAGGGCTTCCGAGGGGTCTGGGCGGTCCGCCGCGCCTTGCCGCGCCTAATTAATTTGAGGGGAGGTTAGCCGGCCGCGGCGCGTTGTTGTAGACGGTTTCGGACGCGAGCTTTCGACACGCGGAGGCTATATGCGCCGCTTACATAAAGGGCGTGTTCCGCCAGGCCCCTTGTGTGGGCGCCATATGGCCTCCGCCGAAAAGCCCGTGCCTGAAATTCGCGGAGGGGGGGAGGCGGGCTAGGAGGTTTTAGGTTAGCCGGCTTTAGCCCGCGCCGCGCCGCGCCGCGCCGCGCCTCGCCCCGCCCCCGCCCAGATCTTGTAGGTTCCTGAGGGGTCTGGAGGAACCCGACGGGCGTCATGAGGAACCTGACCAGCACGGTGGCACCAGCCGCGTTAAACAGCCGGTTTTTTCTATACAGCCGGTGCCGCACATACAGCCGGTGCCAGTTGGGGGCTGGGCGCCAGCTAGTTTGCAAAGGTGCACACAGCCGGGTAACATGCGCCACGGGTTGAAGCTATGACCTTCACGACAACCCTAGTTGTTGAGAACATGTGTTGAAAACGGATGAGTAAAGATTGCCATGACACACATAGCTGAGAAAAACGCACGCTTGGTTGAGCTAGCATTGAAATGAAAGGCGAACAGCCCTACATATTGGGGACGTGTTCTCACAACGGATGTAGAACTACGACTCTTATTTAGTAAAGAATGTGTTTTTTCTGCCAAGCAAGCTGAATTGTTGCGGCGCCAATATCATCGCAAAATGCACAGCGTTTCCACTGGCAGGG